AAAAAACATGTGTATCAGCCCCCCTGCTAGCTAAAGTGCTTTGCAGTTTGTGGATGATGTTACCCTATTGAAAGTGTGACAGAAACCTCATTAGTGACTGGAAGTGTGTCAAGCCACACATGTCAATCGCAATGATAATCTCTAAACTGCAGTAATTATAGAGAGACTTTAATTTATTTTCATTATCTCAGCACAGTATAATTCATATCAATAATATGCAGTGACATTTTGAATGTGTGAAGTAGTATGAAACATTACAAGATCCCCTGTATATTATTTCTTAGAAACGGCATAGCAGAACAAATTACGCCTCATTCTTATGCAGTTCGCTCTTACGAAGAAGAATCAGGATGTCCTGCCTTTTAGGTCCAGGACACAACACCTCTTGGGCTGAAAAAGAAGGCAAATATCTATTTTTGCTGTCTTGTTTTCAATACTACTACACCTCCAAAGATAAGTGATTTATAATTGATCAGAATATTTTTTTAACAAATCTGAACCATTTCATCACACCATATTAAATGAAGGCTTGAAGCAAACAACTTTGTACGTACTGCACAATGTGAACAGAAAACTTTCAAATGTACGTACCTTGACGTCCATGAGTATCCTTCAGCGTGGGATCTGAACCATTCAGTAACAGCATCCTTACTGCATCAAGTTGTCCTGAACTGGCCGCACAATGAAGTGGCGTGAATTTTGATTTCTTAGTTGCCAAATTTACATCCATGTTTAGGTCTTCAATGAGCAGTTGCATCACCTTACAACTTCCAGCCTGAGCTGCGACATGCAGACATGTCAGTCCCATGTTATCAGATTCACTGACAGAAGCACCACTCTTCAACAGCAGCATTACAACAGCATCATGGTTTCCTCGACAAGAATCGATCAGAGGAGTGACTCCACACCAGTCACAAACTGACACAACAGAGCTGTTGTACTTGAGCAGAAGACTGACAATACTACAGTGACCATGAAGTGCTGAAACGAGATACATATCTGTACATTTTTCTCCCATTTGACTATGAGAATTTGTACATCCTCTTCAGATGCAAAATATGAACCAAATTAATTTT